AAAGGGTGGTCAGCGAAAGAAGCGCTGAAGATGGAGATTGGATGTCCCTTGTACCAAACTATGTGTTTTTCTTTGTCGTGAGGTCTCCAAGTAATCATTTCTGCCTTTCTTGTGAGTAGAAGGGAGAAAAGTTAAAGAATTTATCCATATGTTAAATGTGGGTTGGCTCGGGAGTGTTTCCAAACCAGCTGTGCCACCACTCCCTCTCTCCTGGAGCTGCCACCATCCCGACAGCCGCACCAGATTTAAATACAGCAGAAAAAAGGGCAGCTGTGATTAAGGTCTGGCATCATTTGTGCCTGTTTAAAGTCACCTGCTTAAAAAACGTCCAGCGTTTAACATCCCCTGCTGCAAGCACGAGAACCAGCAAGGCAGGGTAGTGCTGGTAGTGAGCTCGGTAATTGGTTTACACTATCAAATAATTCTTATTAAAGAAGTTTACAACAAAATTTGTGCCTTGGGATTAGGCTTTGTCTTTCTTTGCTCTATGTAAACTTACTGGGAGCTGCAGGGAGCACTAGGGGATGAATGAGGGGAACCATGGAAATTCTGCTTCACAAACAGCTCCCAGTTCGCTCTTTGGTGCTTAAATTGGTGCAACTGGAAGCTGTGGGAAACAGGTGGCTGCTCCGCGTCCTTGAGCCGTGGAGAGTGAAATTGAGCTCGTACATCATGTTTCTGCTGGCTGCTCTGAAGTCGAGGGAGCTCCCTTATCAGGCAAACGTGTGGGCGGAAATATGCGAGGGAGCCTAAAGGTGATAAGGGACAGCAATAAGGCTATGCAGAATGGCTGACTTTCCATCTCGCACTTGTCTCTTCCCCCCTCTTCTCCTGTTTCAGTGTGGCATTGTCCTGGGAGCTCTGCTGCTGATTTTCTGTTCTTGGATGACTCATCAATCCTGCATGTTCCTGGTGAAATCGGCCAATCTCAGCAAGCGCAGGACCTACCCTGGCCTTGGTGAGAACTTTCAGCTCTAGGGCTTGCTTGTTTGTTTGTTTGTTTTTTAACTGTGGTTTTACTTTGACCTCTTAATTTACAACTTTCATACTGATATTATTGGAATAGCAAATGGTTTCTTGATGTAGCTTTCAATTGCGTTGTTTTCCTCTGTCAGTCTCAACCCCCTGCCCCATGTCCCCAGGGGAACGCGCGGGTTTAATTCTGCTCTTGACAGCAAAGTTAATAGGTGCAGAATTGTTTTGACTCTGCAGGGCAGGGGAGGAGATGCGGCGCTGACTGATCAAAACCCAAGTTTTTGGGAGCTGGCGTAGTGGGTGTCTGGTGTAAATTATTGGTCTCGGCACGAAAGCCGCGAGCTTCCCCACCCAGTGTGCTGCCGAGGACATCGGGTTCTGCCAGCGGAGAGCCTGGCAGGGAGCTCAGGCTGCCTGGATCCGAGCTGTGAGTGTGTCTATGGCACAGCAGAGAGGAAACAGCGCACGAGGTTCCAAGTGGCCAAGAAAATAAAAACATCTGCAAGATTCATGTGTGGGTTTTTGGCAGAGTCTGCCAGCCCTCTTCCTCGGAGCTCATCGCCTCTGCGCTGGCGCCAGAGTTGGCCTCTGCTTTATGATTCTGCCCAACTTGGGGGGTAGGAAGAGGCGCTCGGGTTGCAGTCCTCTCCATCGGCATGTGAAACAACAGGAAAAGTCTTTTACTCAGTTTCCCTTGCTTCTCTGGGGGAGGAGAGGGTTGGCTGGCATTGCCCTTTGTAAAAGAGCCGAAGGAATGTGTGGCTCGCTAGCTTACTGTGTTGTTGACAGACGGGTTTCCTCCATCCTCAGAATGCCCAAGGTGCTGCTGCTGGGCTGCACGTCTGGGCTTCTGCCAAGTTATATCTGCTAGAAACTGAAAAGATCAGGAAGTTCGGTGGTCTCGGAGGTTGTGCCTGTGATGCTGGAAGGAAGGGGGAGCCCCCAGGTAGCGTCTGACTTCTCCCCGCTGCTCCCAGCCCAGCTGCCTGGGTTGCCTGTCCCTGCCCCCTCACAACACGTTTTTGTGTGTGGCTTCCCCGAAGTACAGAGAGTCCCTTCCACCTTGGAGCGTCTCCCGGGAAGAAGGGATCCTCTACACTTTCTGAAGCCAAAGGGCTCAAATACAGAGAGGGCCAGTAATGCTTCTAAACTTCCTGGCACCTCCTGGCACGCAAACGCTGGCGCTGAAAGAAATGCCTCTGCTCCCTCCCTCTGCCCTGGGAGAGGTGCCACCGGGAGGGACAGCCCTGAGAGGAAAGGCAGTGCTCCTATAATGCATCCTAATGCATCAAGGTTGAGCAGCTCCACACAGACAGCCTTTGTCACCGTGGGCTTGTGCCCTGGTACATCTGCGAGAGATCCTGGCAGCCCCTGCAGCTGATTCTGTGGGAGGCTTTGGCAGTGCTGAAAGATGTAAGAAAGTTTTGCAAATTAACTTCAGTCAGCCAGTCCCTTCCGGAGGAACACTGAGAGCGATCGTTACAGCTACAAAAGAGCCAGGGTCCTAACAGGCTGATATCTAGCCCAGGCGTCTTCGCTTGGCAGTGCTGTATGCCTGAAGTGCTTGGGTATGAAAAGTATTTTGCTCTTCGGCGCTCTTCTCCTGCACTGAGTGGAAGGGAGGGGCCTTAGGCAGATGTGTGGACAAGAAGGGAAGCGGGATGCAGTTCCCAGGCAGATTTTGGCTGGGAGATGAGTTAATGCGTCCCCTTACAGCTGCTGAAAGTAGCCTGGGTCTTTGCAGAGTACCTGTGCTGGGTGCCGACCCCCTCAGCAGCACTCTGCCCTCCCGGGAAGCAGCTCGACTCCGCTCCCTGCAGAGAGAAGTGCTGAAACATGGGTTGCCTGTTCTGGTAACCACACTTGGTTTAAAAGGGCCTCTCTAATTACTGAGCGGATTCAGCTCTGCCCCGCTCGTTACGCATCCAGAGATCCCATTCCAAAGATGCTCGACTGTAAAATTTATTTTACAATCATCGTCTCCTTCCTCCTTGAGAAGATAAAGGATCCAGTTTTTCCAGTGTCCCCAGATGGGGACATTTGGCATAACGTTTTAAAGGCTCGTTCTCATTAGAACATCACTTCAGAACAGCCAAGGAGACTGATTGTTTGTCAGCATCTCCGGCCTAGATGCTGGCTGGCAGCTGTAGCTGTTATCTGGAGGCACCCACCTTTCTGTCTGATGTGAAAAAGGAGCTTGCTGGCGCAGTGCAGCAGCAGCAGTCCTTCTGGAGGTTGGCTTGTTAATGGCCCTGTCTCCAGGAGGAAGGCTTTCCTCTTGCTGGTTCCTCTCTCTCTCATCCCTGGCCCTTTGGCTGTGTGACTGAACCCCCCAAGGGCTGTTGCCTTTTCCTGTTATGGTTGCGAATTCCCAAATGAGGTGAGCCGAAGCTACGAGGCCGCTCTTCGCCCTCAGGCAGCATGCCACCCGCTCTGTCACCGAGCCATTGGCTATTTTCAGTGCTACCCCACATAACGGCTCCGGTTTATTTTTCTGCTGTGGGTCCCCTGCCATGCTTTTTTCTCATTCTGCGTGAGAACATCTTGTTTCCTTAATTTTTAGCTCAAGCAGAGTCCAAAGAAATCAGAGTTTGTAAGTTAATATTTAAAATAGCAGAGGATGCTTCCAGAAGCAAATAAAGTTTGTTTTCTGGCGGCCTCCAGGAATGTGTGCTGTACCTTGAGAGAAGACAAAGGGGAATCCAGGGTGGTGGTTTTCATGTTGGACCTCTGCAGTTAAAGACTGACAGAATCGGGCAATGTGGTCTGTGTTTGGAACTGGAGGTTTCAATTCGCATTCTACCCAGTAAGATCTAAAAATACAAGTGGAGTTTTCTTGGCATTTTCTTTTTAAGAAAAAACACAATGATTTAAAGACTACTGATCATTTTCTGCTACAAGCTACAACCCAAGTACAGGAGGGAAAGAAAAAAGTCTCTTGGCAGCAGCCCTTTGGTGTGGGTTGTGAGTACTGGGTATTCTGGGTATGGGATTGAACGTTCTGGGCACCATCTCAGATCTCCCATCCAGCAACGTCAGGCGGTTCAGTTATAGTGGGAAGATAAAAATAAAAATGAGAGTTTGATTGAAATTTTGCACTGCGGTAACTTTTTACCACACAGCATCTTATACATGCATATTTTCTCTTCTGCGCTGACTTTCTTTTAATGGTTGCCATGTGTGACTGCTACTTCACACCACTTTTTTTTAAATAAGAAAAAAAAAAAAGACAACCTGCTTTCTATCTTTCCCTCATCTTTGTTCTTGTCTTATGTGGTTTTCAGAGGGCATGTCTGAAAAAAAAAGTGGGAGGGCGGGCAAGGGAAACAACCCCAAAACACAGCAGCAGTGGGTTCCTGCTGCACTGCCCTTTGTCACTATTATTGTTTAATTTCGAACTGATGCGTGTGCCACCTTCTGGACCTTTCTTTGACTAACTACAACTTTTTTTTTTTCCCCTCTAATGCCAGCATTTCATGCCTATGGAAAAGCAGGAAAAATGTTGGTGGAAACAAGGTAATCTGCTACTTATTTAAAGCTTGAATAGTTTGGTTTTCTTTAATGAAAAATACTGCTCTGTAGCCTCTTGTGGCCTCGCTGCGCTCTTGTTTCTTACCCTCCTGCCTTCTCTGGTCCCAGAAATCTTCCTTGCCACCTAGAATTTGAACAAGAGCTTAAGTGAGGTTCCCTAAGCACGGATCACAGGTGTTGCCTTCAGCATAGCCCACCCGTTCCTGAGTGCAGACAGAAGCGCTTTCCTGACAGTGGGAGCACAGAAGTCAGGGAATGAACTCATCTCCTGCTCTGCTGTGTGTGCTGTGAAATCATGGGCATGTCACTTGTGGCCGTTTTCCAGGGGTGAAATCCCTGCCAAGATTGCCGTGAGTTAGTGGGAGGGAGAGCGTTCAGTACCTCAGATCCACCCTTTAGCTGCTCTGGTCCTGCCCGCTCCTTGCAGCGGGTGCTGCCTTCCTCTGTGAGACGCCAGGCATTAGGAGATGCCTTGTGGGGCAAATCTTATCTCCATTTCAGCACGGACTCTGGTTCCTCAGATGACCCCAAGGCAAGCAGAAGCTGCCCCGCAGGTCTCGTTCAGCAGTTCTGATGGGCGAGGCGACATCGTTACGGCACTGCTTTTCCCAGCAGAGATTCTTTGGTGGAGGTGTCTTGAGCCCAGGCCAGTCAGTGGTTCTGGCTTCTTACCTCTTCCCAGCTGCAAACCGCTGCACAACACTAAAAATACACAGAATATTTCTCAGGTGTTACTTGTCTGTGCAAGCAGTTGCTGTAATTGCTGCAGGGATGTTATATAATTGGAACTGGGAGGGAAAGTGGTCCGTGCAATCGTGAATGGGAGGAGAAGCAGATCGTAAGACAATCTTTTCATTAAAGTGTTGTCCGTTTTGTGGAAAGAAGTTTGAGAGCCGATTTGGTATCGAGACTTTCATGGTAGGCCCCTGCTGCGGAGCGTGGGGCTGAGAGAACCTCTTCCTGATCCTTTTTTTTCCAAGAAATAAAGGAGTTCTTGCCATCTCCAAGGTTTGTTTTTTCTGTAACTCCAAACAGCAGTTAAACCCGTGCATGGGTTGTTACCAGAGCTACATTTCTAGCCAAGATGTTAGGTGTGGCTGGAGGTTCTCTGTTTTTTATTTTACTAGGCTTGAATGCAGAACTGGTGGTCTGCCCTTCACAAGCCTGAGGATAAAAGCGTGGTCTTCCCCTTCAGCGCCAGTAGTGATGCACAGCCTGCTCGTATGGCTGTGAGAGCAAGCTCGCAGCCCAGGGTATACCTGTAGACAAAAAACCTGTTTTACTACTGGTTGCCAAATGCGTTTTCAGTGTGGGTTCAGCAAAATTTGGGACTTGTCTCCACCGTGACTTGCCAGAAGGTTGTGTTAGAAGGTGGATGTATGCTGAAGCAAGGCACGCTGAGGCTGCCCTGCCTCTGAACACAAGCAAGCGACTGCACAAAATTTTAAGTCACTTTAAATGTACCCTTTTAGCTGTTTCTGTTTAACTTCTGGATGTTCCTCGGAAAACAGGGAGTGCAGTAGGATCCTAAGCAATCTTCAGCTATTGTGGTTGTGCGCAGGGTGTAGCCCTTGAGACTTTGTCGGTGCCAAACCTTTGTCTTAATCCTTCGCCAGCAGCTGCAGCGTATGTAGGATGTCTCTTGCTCCCAGCATATGAAGTGTAGTCCCGCTCCATGCAGAGCACGTAACAGTGTCGTTGGTGGGGGCCCCATCGCCATAGGCTCAGTCACGGCAAATCCAGGTGTCTTTAGGTAGTTTTAGCATTAAAAAAGCCTTGTCCTTTCGTGAGGACTGTGCCGAGTACAAATCCACTGGGAATGTGGCTGCTGACACGCAGCTGCCCAGGAGCAGGAGCTGTGTGCCAGGGTTCCTGTTGCAGCCTCCTAACCTGCATGTATTTTGTTGGTTTTTTTGCAGCATGATTGGGCTGATGCTGGGAACTTGTATTGCTTTCTATGTTGTCATTGGTGATTTGGGGTCCAACTTCTTTGCCCGGCTGCTTGGATTTCAGGTAAATAAATCCTCACTGGATCACGTCTACAATGCAGACAGTGGTCTCAATTCTTCTTGCATCAAGCCATACGTGCCTTAGATGCAGCAAAGAGCATCCTCCTGCCTTAGTAGTGTGCTCAGCAGCCCACGAGGCACTGTGGGGTCATCTCATGGTGAGCTTTAATGGCACACCTTGTGCACAGAGCATTTAGCTCTACCAAGTCCAGACATCTGGTGAACAATCAGATGTGTAAAGCTTCCAATAAGGCACTTCCAACAAAGGAATTCTTTTTAACTTGGTCTCTGTTAATTCTAGAGCAGATTCCTGGAGGAGATGATGCTTCCTGTCTTAATTCCTGCCCCTAACGGGTAGTGACAGACAATTCCTCTGTCCGAGCTGTCACCCCCTTGCAGCCCTCTAGTTCAAGAGGGATTTTTGTCCTGTCCCTTACTGTTTTGATGGTGAAAGTTACTGTGCGCCTGCCTCCTTTTTAAGAGGAAATAAGCTGTGTGATAAGCCAGTGTTGGCTCAAGACACATGGTGGCAAGGGGTGCTCCTCATGGACAGGAGGCTCTTGCTGCTTTTCCTGGAGAGCTGTGAGCAGCAGCGCTCGGAGCCGGCGCGAGGGCTGTGTGGGGAAGCAAAACGGACATGTGGAAGGATTTTTGACGGGGCTGTTATCTGCTCCGCCTGATGCTGCTAAGCTCCGATTAAGGGACTGTGAAGTTAAAAAGATGCGTTGTGGCTGCAGCCAAATTAGGTATTAAATATTTCCAAGCATTTCAGAGTGTTCTGCTATAATAAATACCAATGTGAGGTTTTGATTAATTTTCTGGATCAGAATTTTCAAGACTTCAATCTCTTGTTTCCCAAGTAAGTTTAGTTTTTATTTAATTGCATGAAAATACCTAAATAGCTTGTGCTGGATTAGCATTTAAACAACCCCTTCCCCCCGTACCCCCCCCAAATACTTCCACTTCAGGATGGACCTGTCACGCGCTGTGTAGAGCAACAGTGGCACCCAGTGACTGTATAAGCTAATCACAGACCTAGCCAAAGAAATGGCAAGCTTTCAACATCAAATCTTTAAATGTGAATAGAAGCAGAATTTCACGTTTTAAATCTGTCCTGGCTTTGCATGGTTTCTCAGTCTGGAGAAATTAAGCACATCGGGGAGTTACTTTGCTAATTTGGTGGGATGATTTGAGTATCCTCCGTGCTCCAGTTCTTTATGCAGGTCCCTTTTCCAGGTGTCGGGGAGTTTCCGGATAGTCCTGCTCTTTGCCGTCTCCCTGTGCATTGTACTTCCATTGAGCCTCCAGAGGAACATGATGGCCTCCATACAGTCATTCAGTGCCATGGCTCTGATCTTTTACACGGTGTTCATGTTCGTGGTGAGTATCAATGCTGGGAATGCTGTTTTCGTATTGTTTTAACACAGATATTCCCAGTGGGGCAACCTGCAGGTGCAGGCTTCATGTTTAAAATGTCCTTCCTGGTAATTAGTGCTGCTAGTGCCGGGCATAATGAGCAATCTGGGTGCCGGTGCTCTTGAGCTGGTGGAGGCGGGGAGGTACAGACTGCAGAAACGGGCCCTTGGGTCTGTAAGCTATTACCCATGCTAGGGACTGCAGTGGCATAAATAATAATAAACCACAAATCGAGTTGTGGTTTATTCTGCTTGTTGGTGTCTTATAATTTAGGGCTCTGAACTTTGAATCAGAGGATGGAAGATGTGGGGAAGAGTGCATGAAAGCAGAAGGACTTTCATCATGCATCCGTGTTTTGCCTTGAAAATCTCAATGCTTATAATCTGTAGGGGGAAGGCAGCTGTCGTTAAGAACTCAAGCATGTACTTTGCATGCTTTTTTGCAGCTAATGGTTAATGTCTTTCAGGCTGCAGGTAGTTTTATTTGTTAGACACCAGCACTTCTATTTCTTGAGCACTGAAAGCTTCGTAAAGTCTTAAGTCTGGCACATGGCGTATACTTGCTCTTAGATATTTCTAAGAGAGTTTTTCTTCACTGAGGTGAGTGGATTCTTGACCATTTAGATTAAGTAGGGTAAGCTGAGAGTTACCTAAAGCTGGCCCTGTTTGGCTTGGCCAAGCCCCTCTGTATAGCACGATTTACTGAGAGGTGGAGACTTTCACTTGCTTTTTAATGACTTCGAGTTTCACCTCATGGATGCTCATGTGGTTTGCTTGTGGAGCCCCAGCCCTGTCTCTCCCAAATTTCAGGACTATAAGAGCTGAAACAAAAGGAAGAAAAGGGAGCTGTGGAAATTCTTTCCACCTAACTTTTTTTAGTAGGTTGTGCAGGGTCACACTTCTAAGCTTGCCTCTGTAAGGAGGCTGGAAACTGTGAGTGAGTGTTTTACAAAACTGCCGTGTTCCAGAAGCTGTGCCTTTAAGAAAACCACAACATTTCATGAGAGTTGGCTGCACTAAAACATAATCTCTGGGGATTAGAAAACCCCCATTCAGGCGATATTATAAACAGGCATTCAGACATATTTACCTTCTGTTTCCTGTGCAACCCAATGCCTGCCAGTTTCCCTCTCAATGGCAAAAGAGCTCCCCTGGCCTCCTCTGGGTGCCTTGCTCCCCCAGTTTTCATGAAGTTTATCCTTGTCTTTGGTGAGCTGGTGTTGTTAAATGGCTCTGGAGTAGCAGCGTGCAGGTGGGGTCCTGTTTTAGGAACCTTTGTCTTTCCACCGAACAGGATTCTCCAAGGCAAATGCCGCTTCCCGTTTGGATTTAAAAACATGTTTAAAAAAGTGCAAAAAAAGAAAAAAATTTGCTGGGAACAATAATTCTCACAGTTAAATGTGTCAGTGGAAATTGTTCCACCCTACTGCGTGCTATGATGTCTGATGGCATTGAACAAGGTGGGAATGTCATGGATCTTTTAGAATGCACCCCAGGATCCTTGGTGGCAAGGGGGCCTTGGAGGTTGCTGGGAGCTTTAATAAAGTGTGTGGGTGGGGTGGGGAGCTGGGGAATTTCACTAATAGACATCAGGCTGTGGTAGGCAGTGTAAGCTGTCCCTCGCAGAGCTGCCACACGCTGCCTTTTATCCCAGCACTGGCATTACTGCTGCCATGAAGTTGTTTTCAGTTGGATCTTAACTCTTTTTCTTTCTCTTGGCTACAGATTGTGCTGTCGTCCTTCAAGCATGGCCTCTTCAGCGGGCAGTGGCTGCAGCGAGTTAGTTACACTCGTTGGGAGGGCATTTTTCGCTGCATCCCCATCTTTGGCATGTCTTTTGCCTGTCAGTCGTAAGTACCTGCCCATTCCCACTTCTGGCAGTTGTGGTGTGCAAAATGAGTTTTTGTGAGGGCAGAGGGTCATGAGGATCTGCAAGGGATAGATACCATCTGGTTTCCTGTTTTATTTTAATCAAAATATTTTACAGCCCACTGAAGTACAGCATCTCATTCAGTTGTGACCCTTTTGTTACCTAGACGGGGGAGGGAGTTATATATTTCACTTAGGAGTTATTGAGCAACATAAGATCATTTGGGCCAAGCAGATCCTCAACGTAATGCACATTGCTTCTGGTACAGCTGCATAAGTGATGAATTTCCCCCGTTTCTTGAAGGGAATGATTTAATACCAGCAAAGGCAGCAGGGCTGTGTCGCCTAATGGCTGTAGGGCCCTCTGCAGGGTAGCGTACACTGGTGACTGCTCTCTGCTTCCCCAGATTTCTTTGAGAATACTCACAAGATTGCACAGTCATTGACTTTGGAGAGTTGTTTGCCTGTTTCCAGTTGCCTGCTTTTAATGAGGATTTCCGTTGGCACGTGGAAGGACGTGACGGCAGACCAGGCTATTTTCACGTTTCTAGCAGCATTACCTTCTGCACCAAAATGGCAAGTGAGCAATACGTGCCTGGCCAGAATAGTAACAGACTTTAAATAGAAGTGTAAATCCAAATGTGGACACGGAAAAGACCATCCTCATTTGGAAGGCTGGCAGAGTCGGGCTTTCCCCCCTGTAGTTCTAGCAAATGGGTAGCATGCCAACAGTAAATGAATGTGACAGATAAAATTTGTTCAGACTGCTGTGTTTACACCCACACGCAAGATCCAAATCATCATTTTCCACTTATCGGCTCTCTTGGCAGCTCGGTCCCTACCCGAACACTCTCCAGTCTTGCTGTTTAATGTCTCCATTACAACTGGCAAAGGGAGTTGTATTCTTTTACCGCTTTACCTTGTTAACATTTTAGAGTTTTTAAATTCCAGTTGTGGTTTTGTTTTTTTTTTTCCTTATGGTAGCCACGCAGTACCCAGCACAATTTTGCTGGGAGTTGGAAAGTCAGGGAAATCGTTTGGTCTGGACCAGCGTGCGCATACCTAAATATAGGCTCCATTACAGCACTTACGTGGCAAGCTGAACCTAAAGCTATGCGTTTTTTCCAAGCATCAGGGCAATAAGCTGTCCCCAGCCCATGCAATCTTTATAAGCATGTTATTCTCAGCTAGGTAGGTTTAATTTTGCTAACCTGTGAATCACCTTTTTAAAGAAATAAATAATTCTAACATAAAGCAGAAATCCTTTTCCCTCAGCACGTAAATGCAGCATACAGTTGGGACAAATAAATGCACTATTATTCTAGCTTGAAAAACTTGACCCTGCTTTACTTGTGAGTTCAATACCCTTTGCTTTTTAAAAGCTATCCTGTTGTTGCTGAAGTTGCAAAGTAGGTCACTCCTCTACAGTTATGTAGCGTGGAAATTTGCTGTGGAGCCGAGAGCTGGGAGTGCGAGGACTCCAGGATTACCTCTGCTGCAGCCTCCTTGTGTGACCTTGGTCAAGTCAGTAAACCCTGTAATTAAAGAGGAGTCAGTAGAGCTTTCCAGGAGAAAACTTCTAATTTCTGGAGATGGCTATTCTGGTGCAGATGGATGCAAAAATGCTGGATTCACAGGGATAAGAAGTCAGGATGTTGTTCCTTGCCTCTGTGAGCATCTGTTCCCTGCAGACTGAGTTAGCACTGGGCTAGGAGAGCCTGTACGAGGTGGGCCCTGCAGTGAAGGTGAAGAACAGATACTCTGAGGTAGCTCTGGCCATCTCTGAAGAAAGGCTGCTTTCTCTGAGGCTGCTCTTGATGCTTGTGCTGACTTGCCCGATCTCTGCTAAGGAGGAACCATCTGCTTGTGCCCTCTTTGAGGTGCAGTGTAACAGATAACACGGGGAAGGGTCCCTGATCCTTTGCCGGCCTTCAGTGAAGTCACTTTTCTTAAAAATAAACCCCGGGCTTGTCAGGACATGCTGCCTGTTGCGTGCTTCTTGATCTCTTGCTCTGCCTTGAGAGGTGGTGACGGTCAGGAGGGCCCAGCAGCATGCCAGGGGGGCTTGAGGGGCACTGTGCTGGTCCTCCAAACCCAGGTTGACCAAACAGGTGCCGCTAGATGATTGCAGGAGGCCTGAGTGCAGCTGGACTTTGCATGGCACTTTTTCCCCTTGTCACTGCTGCTGTTCCTGCACTGACATGGTCCTGGCCTGGCTGTGGCATCCCAGACGCTGCAGAGCCTCTCTGGTTCCCTCCTTTCTTCTCCTTCCACAGCCTGGATGTTTGGCTGGCCCCCTTCCCCTCGTGGGGCTGACGTCTGGGACATAGTCATAGTTAATCTAGTGGAGGTCACTGCATTGAGGGCAGGGAGGAATCTGAAATGGAGAGACTCCTGGGGAAGCCGATCTCATTCCCTGTCAGTAAATGGCTGTCATGATGCTGCATTCACAGACCCTGCGTGTGTCTTGCAGGTTTCTGTGAGCCGATGTGCCCAGCTTCCCTTGTGCAGAACTGTTTGACGTTAAGGGATTAAGGGTTAAGGGTTTTTCTGCTTGGCCTCAGCTTGACACGCTTTCTGTTAATGGCTTTTTGCCCACTGGAGCTGGGGATACCCCCTTCCCACCTAACTGGATGCTCCCCCCCTTCTTGTGAGAGTTACTTCAGTAACGTGAAGCCAGGATGTAGCCACTTGAATTAAAGTAACAAGAGGTTAATGAGTTGCTAAAATATGCACCTGATGTCAAAAAGTACATTCCACATGCTTTCCAAGTCTGTAAATACCCCAAATCCTGTGTAATTGGTGCTCCCAGCTTTCTATGAACTGAGCTCTAGCAGCAGTGCTGAAATATGACAGGCACTGCATTTAGTTTTGTTTGTTTAACTTTTCTTTTAGACAGCGTGATGCTCTAACCTTCTTCCTGCTTTTACTCTGTAAACACTGCGTTGCTTTAATTATCAGCATAGAGAGCTCCAAGAACAATAATCTCCAATGCGCTGCCTGGCCTGGTGCCACTGGTGTTTCACTGGAACAAACGGTCATTCATTTTGCAACACTTTTGAACCAAAATGTTTACATCACACGTTTAGCTCCACGTGGTGGGGTGGGGAGAGCAGGAATATTTTTGCAACACTTAAAGTTATGAGTGTTCTGAAATCTCTTGGCATTAGCAATATAAATTGTGGAATAGCAGCGAATGTTTATGCTCCATAGGGGGAAGGTGTCAGGGATTCTTTGCTGCTGGGCTGAGGCAGAGAATGTGCTGCAGTTGGGTTTTTCTCTCTCTCTGCGGAAGGTTTCCTTAAATAATTTACCCTTTTCTACAGTCAGGTCTTGCCTACCTATGATAGCTTGGATGAGCCGTCTGTTAAAATCATGAGCTCCATATTTGCTTCTTCCCTAAACGTGGTCACCACCTTTTACATTACGGTAAGAAACTTCCCCTTCTCTTTCGTTGCCAGAAGTCACACTCTGGAGGGGCAATGGGGATGATGATTTATCTTCGGTTGGGGCTGGTTTCTGCTTATCTGTATTTATTTTGAAAGAGAAGTGATTTTGCTAGAGGCAAAATTAGATGGGAGATGATGAACCGAACAGTGCAGGAGGCATTTGGAGAGTCCAAATTTTCGGTGTGGCACGTTTCCTTGGGTGGAGGCAGAGTGGAGACCCAGCCCTTCCATGTGCATCAGCCTGCCGTCTGCCTTCCAGGGCCCAGCCTGAAGTTGGAGGTGCTGCCCAGAGTTTAGGAGAGTTTCTTTCAGCCTGTTGCAATTGGAAGGATGTGAAGGAAGTTGTGCCTCATAAAGCACCAGTTAATAAAACCGAGTTAATAATTCCTGAGAAGAGCCTTGCCCTGTGAGCTAGGCTGCTGTGGGGAATCGTTACGGCCCCTCCTTCGTCGGAGAGGGCCGGTCTGTGGGCCTGGCAGCAAGCAGAGTGTTGCTGCTCTGTGTCACGGGCAGCGGCAGTGTTCCCTCACTGCAACGTCCTCCATGCAAGCCCCCTGTATTTGGTGTGAAACTTGCCTCTGCTTTTAGGAAGGTCCCACTATTCGTTAACCACATGTCTCAACTTTTGGGGGTGCTGCAGCTGGGACTGCTGGCTGGTTGGCCGCGGAGGTGGCCCCACGTTCCCTTCTTGGCTGGCTGGTCCTAACTCATGGGAGGTCGCTGACCTCCACCCTTTTGTAAAGAGCAGATGTGAATGTGCTTTGGAGTCAAACCCCATCTACTCATCTCCCCTCCTGCTGGACAGGTGGGCTTCTTTGGCTACGTGAGTTACACCGAAGCCATTGCTGGGAACGTCCTAATGAACTTCCCTTCCAACCTCGTGACGGAGATGATTCGTGTGGGATTCATGATGTCGGTAGCTGTGGGGTTTCCGATGATGATTCTCCCATGCAGACAGGCACTGAACACCCTTCTCTTTGAGCAGCAGGTAAGATCCTCTTGTGTGGCCAGGAGCAACTGGCTGCCTTGGTGTGCACCTTTGAAACTTGGTTTTTGAAGGGCTACTGTGACTCTTTGGCTTCTCCCGCCGACTTCTGACCTGGGCTGCAAATGTGCCTTGGTTCTGTGAGACTCCGTTGACAACTGCATATTTCTGACTTGTGGTAGGTACTCACTATCCAGAGGGACAAACCCTCAACTCGCAGTAAAATCGTAAGTGCCTGGTCTGTGGTAATGGTGCAGCAGGAGGCCTGCGGCAGTCTGTAAATCCTGCTCTGCAGAATGGTTAATCTCTGGTACTTTGAGGTTCTTGCCCTCTCTGCAGAGGAATTTCATGGGCAGAAGTGCTGGAGTTGGGAGTCTGAAGCCTGCTATTGCTCCACTGCACCCTCAGTCCCGTGGCTGCTACTTCCCTGCTCTGCTGGGGATTTCGGCTCTTGCGCAGAAGTGTTACACAGTTCAGAGCCGAGGTGGTTCTCCCCCTCAGAAAGAGGGAGAAATGTGCTTTTGGAAACAGAGGAGCCTCCTTATTTCCTGCTGCTCCAGCTGGCATCCTTTTGCTGGCCAGCTCGATCTTGCTTTGCATTTAGCTCAAGCTTCTATTCCTGGCCTCAGAGCCCAGCCCAGCCTCATTTTTTCTTTCTTCTGTGTGTGCCTGCTCATTTCTGCTCTTTTATTATTATTCTCATCCTTGCACCTTTGTCAGTAGCTCCCGTGAGCAACTTTATCCCCTCCGGGTTCAGATGTCCCCTTCCTCCAGTGCCTGCCCTGGCTGTTTGGTGCCGGTCTGGTGCAGAAGCATGCGGTGGAATACAGCCCTCTCCCACACGTTCACCTTTCCCAGGGTCGGATCTTCAGACAGCCTTTGTGACTATAGTTGGTCTGTCTGATTTAGACTGTAAGTCCCTTGTGGCAGTAGCGTGTTCTCCTCTGTGTATTGTACGGCACTAAGCATGCCGATGGTATTCAGTAAATAACAGTAAGAGATTGTGGGAATGTTCTGAGGCCTTTGTGTATCTGCATAAATAGAAACCTCTTAGGGCAGGAAATAAAACTTGAGCAATTTATAGCTCTAAATACTGCCACTTCTGCCTGTGAGAAGCCCCCAGCTCTTTTCTCACATCAGGAGGGCCTGAGGATGGGGGAAAGACGATTGGTGAAAGCCAGCGGGAGCAGAGGAGTAAGCGCTAGAAACGCTTGGGAAGGCTTTGGTTCTCTCCTGGGCTCAGTTCATTGCTCTTTGGGCTCTGAACGTGTCACTTTGCTTTCCTCTCCCATCTGTGCAGCCAGCAGAGCAGGGACCCGCTGGTTCTCTGCCTTCTGCACCTCCCGCTCAGAGCGTGGGGATGGGATGGGAAGCGGTGGGCATCTGGAAACCGAGCAGTATCAGCAGCTCCCCAGCAGCACCGGTTCTCCTCTCTGCCATCTGGCTGGGGTGTCTTCCGTCAAGTCGGAGGAGCTGGTACATGTGGTGGAACGCGGTGGGACTAGCCCTGCTCCTGGACATGTTAGGGGATGCTCTTCCCCCTGTGACCATTCTCCCTCCTGCCTTCTCAGCTGCGCTTCTTTCTCATGCCCTTGGCCTTGGGGCTGTTCGCCGAGGCTGGACGGCTGCGGTGCTGGCGCAGGGACTGGGATACAGCTGTACAGTTCACATTTGGGGCAGGATGGAAACAGCAGCTTTGGCTCCGTGCCCCCCATCACTCTTGTTTTGAAGGTTCAAATGCAGTTGCGTATTAAAACTGCTCAACCATGTCTAACTGCCCCCCCCGCCAGGATTCACCTCTTTCAACCACGTCTAACTGCCCCCCCGCCAGGATTCACCTCTGTGGAGGCTGTAGCATGGAGGTGCCGAAGCTGCTGGAGCCTGCTGGGGTAATTGCTTAGGAATCGTGAGGTTGTGAGGCAGGAGCTAAACTTCTTCTCCCCCTCCCACCCTTTCTCTTCCAGCAAAAAGACGGCACCTTCGCTGCTGGGGGTTATATGCCCCCGCTTCGGTTCAAAGCTCTGACGTTGGCTGTTGTGTTTGGAACCATGGTGGGAGGCATCATGATCCCGAATGGTGAGTGAGGAGTTGGGCACAAGGGCTGGTTGCTTGGCTGTCTTCTCTGGTCTCTTTTACTTACTTTTCTGGGTGGGGTGGCCAGTCTCACTGGGCTCGTGCCCCAGCCTGCCTAGGGGCTCGGGCAGCCACCACGTGTTGCTGCTCTGGCAGTCCTGGAAGGGGCCTTTGCTGACTTCTCTTCTTCTTTGCCAGTGGAAACAGTCCTGGGCCTGACAGGTGCTACGATGGGAAGCCTCATTTGTTTCATCTGCCCAGCTCTTATTTACAAGAAGATCCACAAGAATGCGCTTTGTTCACAGGTCAGTGCTGATGCTGCTTGACATCCCCCTAAGCCCTCTGCAGAGCCTGGGAACGTAGTTAATTTAGCTGCAGCAGAGAATCAGCTCGGCACCTCCTCCAAGCCTCCCCCTCCAGTCTGCCCAGTACAGGTGGGAGCTGTTCTGGTCAGCTGCTCTGAGCAGCATCGCTTATGGGCATGCAGACAGCAGCAGAGGAGGTGCTGGCCCAGTGCGTGGCCTGCCCCATGCTAGAACACCAGCCCGTTTTGTCCCTCCAGCAGCAAGTGAAGCATTCATCTGGTGCATAAAATGCTGCTTCCAGTCTGCCTTCTGGTGGGCTTCAGGTTCTGTATCCACAGAATGGGAAATCCAGGCAGCCTGTAAAACCTTAACGGGCCTTACATCCCAACCTGCCTAGGCTGGGTAAAATAAACATGGTTTCTCAGGGATGCGGTTCTTGCTGCTGACCGTCAGCTTTCTGGTTTCAACCAAAATAATAATAAAAAGGAACACACACATAGAGGTGTTGCTTCAGGAATTGATTTTTTAAAAATTGGGGTCGTTCAGAGGCTGTTAGAAGTTTAGCTTTTCCTTTTGCTCCAGTTTGAATTGGCCTCCTCAGGGACTGAAACAAAGTGGCTCTTTGCTGGGCTTGATCTCTCTGCTTCTGCAAATACTGGGCTTTTGTGGGACTGAAATTCACAGGTTTTGTTTTTTTCTAACAATAACTTAATCCACTGCCTTTTAGCAGGCCTCTGCCCCAGCATTACCAGTCACGACAGTGCTGGGCTGGGAATAAGGTTTTCGGCAAACTGCGGAGTCAGCAGGGGGAGAGCGCGACATTTTTGTGGGTCCTACAGAACTAATGGCTTTTTCTGTATTTAATGACTTGTGGGTTTGAAAACGTACATGAAGTTTTTAAGTGGTGCATATTTTTTTTTCTTTCCCCATGCTTTCTCTGACACAAGGAAATAGTCCAACTTTCCAGCTTTCACTCTGAATTCTGACACTTTGGTCCTAACTTCTTTGACTGAAATCCCAAGCAGGAGTCTGAATGCCAGCCTGGAATTTTCAGGGAAACAAAGAGCACTTTCAAGAATTGCTTTCTATTCCGGTTGAGCCAGAATGTTTCTCTGCAGTGCCTTGAAACTGCACTTAGGCTGTGCCGAGCTCTTAGACTGGCTGCCCAGAGGCGACTGTCAGCTGCCCAGGGTTTTGAATACTGGGGCCCTCACAATGCTTGACCTGAAACGCTGGTCACAAGGCTGGTGTAGATGTTTGTCCTGCAGAAATCCCCACAAAGGAATAAGGGCTTATCTAAAGCATCAGCCCCCAGGTTACCTTGGCATTTCAAGGGGCTGGTAGCAAGCTGTCCAGCCTTCTCTTGAATGATTCATTGCCTGTCAAGTTTGCATACTTGCTTTGACCGATGCTCTCAAGTGCTGCAGCAAGGGCACACCTGCCTTCAGAAACACGCTAGGCTGCAGAGCACCTCCCCGCTGGAGCCGAATTCTGAGCCCACCCTCTCCTCGTTCCTCCAGGTCTTCTGCAAAGACTCATTTATTCTTTCCCTGAAGCTCTGTCTTTGGTCTC